ATATATTGACACCCCACCTACAGCCTTTACCTTTACAAGTAGAAGAAAGGTGTAAATACAAAAGTTTTACAGTTTTGGCTGAATTTTTAGAAACTATGGTCAAAAACAGAATTTGAATGTCAGAAATATGAAATTTTGCATGGTTCCAGATTTTTTTCAAATGGGATGCAGGGGCGCAACTAGCTTGTTGGTTTTGGGGGGGCTTGAGCCCCGGGTCTCTATAAGTCGATTTGGTGACAGTATAGGTATGATGTTTTTCAAAACTTACTACAGTACGTATTTCAAAAATGCCTGAATTTGACGGAAATACTCTGCTATAAACTTTGTTCTCCGATATAATCTACGTTCTCAGTTGAAAAAAAAAAAACAAAGTTATAAAAGACATTTTTATGTACCTACAGGGTGGCCCATTTATTTTGTCCTATCTCGATATATGGGAATCTCTCGGGAAATCTAGATATGTTATGACAAAAAGTATTACCTATACAAAAGTTGTAGGGTTTAAATCATTAGATTTTTTGTATGTTTCCCTTTGGTCAAATTCCGACTTTAAAATATTTATTTTCAACGTCTAACGTTTCTACGGTTATCTAAAAATTGGCCGTTCCTCGGAGATAACCGTAAATAAATCCGAAACCGTGCATAACAACCTTATCAAACTATACAGGGTGATTTACGTAGCCCATGCATTAGCTTGCAGGTAGATTAGATGATATTTGTACTAATCCACCTGCAAACTGCACAATTTCTAATGCACGGGCTACGTGAATCACGGTGTATATATTTATATTTGTCTTTGCAAGCGCTATCAAAAAATATAAAAATATAATGGGCGTTCTATTACAAGAAAAAAATCTGATGTGTGACACTTTTTTGACACCCCCTGTATATGCGCAAATAACTAAAACAAATAAATAATGATTTAAGTCCTACAACTTTTTGCCATAAAATATCTAGATTTCCATATACTGAGATAGGACAAAATAAACGGGCCACCCTGTACATACATACATAATATGTAAGTTAAAATATATTGAGTTTAAAACTTCTCAAGCTACTTAAATTGGTACTAAAAACAACTTAAAAACTGAAACAAGTTCTGTTACATTAAATTCCTCCTAAGTGCACAAACAGACACGGGCCAGCAGACGAAAGGGTTAAAAAACTGTTGTGTCACTTTAAGCTTCGTGTATTTGATGCTCCTATATAGCAGGTGCTTGAGAGGGCAGGGGAGAGAAAAAACGAACAGTTCAGTTGCGCGAAACTCTAATGCATAAACAGTTCAGGACGCTCTAGAACAGCCCAGGAGTGCTTAAAGTGCGTCACTGGAAAGCGACTCAGATCTGCTCGCTTTGGTTTGGGAGGGCGAATGGCTAATTTGTGTCATTACCATCATGTTTGTGACCATCGGGTTTGGGGGGGGCTAATCTTGAGCTTGGGGGGGCTAAGCCCCCCCCCTAATTGCGCCACTGATGGGATGCCCCATATTTAATTCTATATTCTTGAAGAGCACAATGCCCCGATTCCAAAAATATATAGTTTGTCTATATTTGATTGAACAGTCTCCTATACAGGGTGTCCCACGGTGGATGGCGTATTAGACGTTTATGGAGAACTAAAAAGCGGATAATTTTGAAAATTTGGCAACCGGGATAAACAACCATGATCTACACTTTAAAAATATTTTTGACCATGCGATGTTGCCGCTTCTACGCTAAACTAGTGGCAACATCACTATTTTAAATGGAACACCCCGTATTGAATTGCATATTTGGATTCTACGTAAAATTCTGAGTAGATTTCATGTGATATATCCTATACCTAAGTTCAACTGTTTTGGAAATATTGACAGTTGAAAATTGACTTTTTGCAACTATAAGGTCCGCAACAATCCACTTATTTGTACTTCAAAAATAACTTATTATATAAAGTCAGAATTTTAAAGATTATCCACTTTTTGTCAATTCGCCTTTTAACAGGAATTAGTAATGTTACTTTACCAAACTAGTTTTATATTGCGACAAGTTATTCAAGTACAAACGAGTGGATTGTTGCGGAACTTATGGGTGGACCCAGCCATCTATTCACCAATATGTTGTTCAAGTACGATACTAACCTGACTCACTCAAATGTGAGTTATTCTCATTAGTATAAAAACTACACGCTTCAGGTGTCTTATTTGAACAGTTCAACAGTTTACTGGTGAGTAGATGGCTGCGGAACTCGCTGCGTTCGTCCCGCAGAGGTCCATCCATAAGTTCCGCAACAATCCACTTATTTGTACTTAAACAATAACTTATTATATAAAGTCAAAATTTGTAAGATTATCCACTCTTTGTCAATTTGCCTTTCAACAGGAATTAGTAATGTTACTTTATCAAACTAGTTATATATTGTGACAAGTTATTCAAGTACAAACGAATGGATTGTTGCGGAACTTATGGGTGGACCCAGCCATCTATTAACCAATATGTTGTTCAAGTACAATAACAATAACAATAACTTGATTCACTCAGTTGTGAATTTTCCTCATTAGTTCAAAAACTACACGTTTTAGATGAGTGTCTTATTTGAAGAGTTCAACAGTATATTGGTGAGTAGATGGCTGCGGAACTCGCTGCGCTCGTCCCGCAGAGGTCTACCCATAAGTTCCGAAATAATCTACTTATTTGTACTTTGTGTTTTTTTTATATATTGACACCCCACCTAAAATCTGAAAGCGTGCAATATTTCACATTTCTGACATTCAATTTTTGTTTCTGACCATGGATTTTAAAAATTTAGCCAATAATGTACAACTTTTGTATTTACACTTTTCATCTACCTGTAAAGGTAAAGACTGTAGGTCGGGTGTCAATATATAAAAAAACACCCTGTACATTAAGTTACCAGATGGTTTTGAACATCAATCAGGTGAAATCTACAAATTGGAAATCCGCTCTATGAGCTCAAACAAGCTTCAAGAAATTGGACTCATTTTTGAAAAAGTTTGATGTGATACGGAATGCAAATGAAAAGTTTCTTTATTAAAAATTTGAAGACAATATCAAGATTTTTCTGTAAATGATAGATGATTCAATTTTGACAAGTAGGTAACGATGTTTCAAAATTAAAAAAATATAGAAAAGTACCTATACTTAGTACAGAATTTCAGATGGAAGATATCAAAAAACTTAAAAGTTTTCTCGGAATAAAAATTGAAAGATCTTCTGAAGGTATATTTTTAAGTCAAAAACCCTATATCTTAAAAATCTGCTAAAGCGTTTTAAAATGGAAGAATGTCACCCCATAAAAACGATGATGGAATTTAAGTATCAAGAAACATTGACGTTGGAAGAATCTATCATTGAACAGAAACCTTACACAGAACTAATGGGTTGTTTAATGTATTATGTGTATGTGTATGTATGTGTATCATGTATTATTAATGTACCTACTATGCAATGTTGTGTGATGTTTACCTTTTTTAATTTGACACTTTCCCTAATGAGGATCAAAGGAAGGAAGAATACAGTAAAAACAGGTATGAGATCAGGATCAGGTGACCATTGACGCGATGACGTAGGAAGCCATTAGTTCACATTTATTTGGAGTATCCTAAGTCTATTTCAGCACGTCAAAAACCGTCCCATGAACAGTTTCGAAACCACTCAGTGAACGAATGTTGGTTTCTGCGCACAAATTTCACGCTTAACGCAGACACATAACCTCACTTTCGTTGGGGGGACATACAAAAATAAGGTTATGTGTGTGACGTCAGCTATGATGAATGAATGAATTTTATATGAGTCAGCCTGTTTATGGTTACGCAGAGGCAAATTGGGGAGGAAGCCTATAGACAAAAATCAACAAGTGGATTTGCTTTAGCAGAACTCTATGGTTCTACTCTGTGTGTTTGGTTAGGTTACCAAGAAGCAATCTACAGTTTGACTTTCATCAACAGAGGCTTAATTTGGTTTGGAAATTTAGTTGAAGAACTCAAAATACATAAAGTTTTTCCATTAATAATGTATAAAGACAATCAAGCATGTAGGTATACATTTTCTTGGAAAGTGGGAGCACAAGAGACTTAAACATGTTGATGTCAAATACAATTTTATATATGTGATTTGTACAATAAGAATACCTATGTTAAAAGTTGAGTATACTTATTATAATATTCATGAACAATGTGCAGATGCGTTTAACAAGTCAAGATTTTGAAAGACATTGTAGAAGCTTAGGATTAAGAAGATTCTTAAGTTGAAGAGGTGTTGCAAAATGCTAGTATAAGGAACTGTAGTGCCATTATACAGTATGACAATATTGTTGATGTTGAAGTTTATGTTACTTGGAATTTTATAAAAGTTTGTCTAAACATTGAAAAGCCTATATATTCCACTGTCATCTCTATTCTGCTAGAAATTATATTATTGTTTCAAACTGCAAACTTCCCTCATATCACTAAAATTTTCCAATCGTTTAACAAAGATTTCTCAAGTTTTCGTTTGAAACATGATAGATGTTGTTTCATCGTATAAGTCTCATTCTTTATAGGGGTTTTGTGATAACTTTGCAAAGGTTTTAATCCCATTAGTATCACATTATGTGCATATAACTTATCCATTTCCGTTGTGGTTCAGTAGTCGATTATCTCATACAACAATATTGAACCAATTTTTCAGGATTTTACAAATAGACAACTAAAAAATATGCGTGGGCTAATGTGCTTAAAATAGACCTATTTGAGTAATAATAGGATTTCAATTCGTGCTGATTAAAATTGTTTGTATCGGAAAACAAAGGCAAAGTCTCCAAAGTTGGACTTCATAAGCAAAATCCAGCCACTAAGGTGAACAATTAGGTACGGGTGTAAGTAACAAAAAAACTGGCCTGTTTCAGCAATAAAAATTCAAAATATATGAGCAATCAGTGTGCAGATAAGCTCTCCTCTGTGCAAAGTTGCTTACTACTACACAAAAAAACGTGCCAGCAGAAAGCTTTTAAAAATATCACATCACCTAGTGTCGATCGTTCCTCTGAAATGTTTTGCGCTTGAAGCCTTTGGGCTATCACGAAGATCATTTCAGAACCTAAATTCAGTACCAGAAAAGGAGTGGTGTATAGCGACATTTTTGTCCAAGAAGCTGCTGCAACAACTACACCGCAAAGCTATTTTAGTCTAGTTCATTGATTTTTATTGTATTGTTATTTCAGCCGTAGTAGGTGAAAACATGGACGGAGCAGGTGAGATGTTGCCAGATTTTTTTCAATAATTGGTTGTTGGCTTGAGTGTTTCCTATAAGTATGATTTGTAACTCAATTATATGATTCGTTATGATGTTTTAAGAAAAAAAGGTCCTATAAACATATGTCCGGAAATGCGTAATTTTTAAGATACAGGGTGTTGATGTTTTTAAAAAAATATATTATAACTCAGTAGGTACCTACGTCACTAGTTGAAAATGAAAAATACACCTTTTTTAGTAGTCATCAAGGTTTTCGAGAGAAAAAAAAATCCATTTTCTTCTAGGTAACTACGTCACTGGTATCTCATAAACTACGCATTTCCGGAACATGGTTTATGGGAACTTTTTTTCTGAAAATACCGTAACGAATCACGTCCTGAAGTGTAGTAGGTAGGTACTTATAGGAAACATCCTATATATAGGGTGTTACAAATTCGTGAGTTTCATATTTACAAAAAAAAAAAACTTTTCGTCTAAACAAAATTTGAGAGTTATACAGGATGTCCCAGACGCGGTTCACCAGTAACCAACTTGAAATTTCTAGATGAGACACCCTGTTTTTTTTATTTGATTTTCAGATTCTTAGCTCAAATTCCAAGACAAATCTATGTAGATTAAATCTGTCTTTATCTCTTACCGTTTTCGAGAAAAGAGCTGTTAAATTTTGACTTTATAAAGATGTATAGTAAAAAGCGAAATTATATATTGTCTAGGCCAACGAATGTGAAGCTAAGGGGCACCGGTGCAGTTGTATATGTATAAAATACCCAGCGGCGTGCGGATTTTTTTGAAAGTATATAATACTGCAACGCATTTTTTTCAAATGACCTATACCTACTTTGTCTAGTACTTTCACTTTTTTATAATTTAAACATGGCGCAACATCCAAAGCTGTCAATATTTGAAGTAAATTACTTGAAATTCTACTTCAAATAGATATAAGTACTTTTTTTTGACCCGCTCTATCGAATGGTAAAGTCAAAATTGAGCAAAACAGAAAAATAAAAAAATCGACTTTTTCATAAGGGTAACCCATTTGAATTCTGATTTCAAAATCTTCAAACCTCAATTGCGCGGTAACCATTGGGCAAATTGTATTGAAATTTCCAGCGTTTGTAGCTCTTATCAAGCTCTAAAAGACATGTAATTTACAATATTCCTGGGTTTATAGTTTTTGAGCAAATTGAGTTTGAAGTTTTTGCTAAAATTTTGACTGAAAATCAACTTTGAGGCTCAATTATTCAAAAACTATTTGAGCTATTGAATTTTGCACGGTTTATAGAGAATTTATTGCTCTTTCGAATGATATATAATTTGTTCCAATTTGCTCAAAATTTAACAAAGATATGGGCAATTATTCATGACCATGCGAGGGGGAAATCACTACGAAAAATTGTACACCAAAATTCCCCTTCCGGAAAAAATTCCCCGAAATTCCCCAAAAGTATTCGAAATTTCCCAAAATACCTACTAACTTTGGAAATTCCCTGGAATTTCACTAAATTCCCCTGTAGACTCCAAAATTTCTCGGAATTCCCCGAAATTCCTCCAAATTTCCCGCAGCAAACCATTCGTATTATAGTTTTATGACCTCAAGATCTATAATAAAACGCAAACAAAAATATATCATGTAATGCTTGCTTTAATCAAAGAACATAATTACCTTACATACTTAATTAATACCTCTTTGGGAACAAAAGAAACTGAACAACTATAAAGGAAAATGGTAAATATTGAAAACAAAACTAAATATATTCTTACATAAACTTTTGCAAAAAATATCACAAAATAGTTTTCGGATAGGTACTTGAATATTGTATAACAAATTAAAACAAAACAATCTTTGATGAATAGTATAACAAACTAAAGACAAGATAGGTTGTCCCTCGGGTTGTCCTGAGGGTTTTTCTAACATAATGAGGAATTTAAAAATATATATATCTTTATGATTTCAAACAAATAATTGCCCTTAGCAAAAATATAACGCAATAGTTATTTTCTTAACAAGTGCGCAAAGTGATACTTTCCCGCACGAAAAAGTAGTTAGACGAATGACGCGAAGCGGAGTTCGGATAAGCTTTGAGTGTGGGAAAGACACTTTGCGCAAGTGTTAGGAACAATATTTTTTCTACGAGTATCTTAAAAAAGTAGACTTTGAATTGTTGAAATATTAGAAAAATCAATCAAATCAAAATCTTCAAAAATCGTTTCAAATCTATTGGAATTCTTCAGAATGTTTTTTAAATTAAATCCTCAAAAATCTTTTAACGTCTTCTGGGATTTCTAGAATACCAGCTAGAATATTTTCATGAGACTCTCTTAAATATCAAAAATTCTACAAATTCTTAGCAGTACAGGCTGGTCCAATTTCGACACCTTTGATAGGAAACATCATGTTAGCTAAGCGCTAAATTCCTAAGCTAATTGGCTAAGCACTAAAATCCTCCATTTTGAGTATTAGTTTATTCAGAAGCCATCATGAAAAATCAAGTATAGGATTTTCATGCTATATTTAGGATGACGTCACATTCAGTGGATTTCTGCTGCCAACCTAACAAAATTAAAAGTACTTTTTAACGCATTTAAAGTAGGGGAATTTCAGATGTTTTTGGTTGGCAACGGCGCGCGACGTTGCATGACTTGTATAAACATTTTCATTTCGTTATTTTTAGCTGTCGTCAGTATTATCGACAAGTGACATTCTAGTAAATTATAAGAAAAAAAAAAGGTATTGACAACATTGTCTCTCCTTGTTCGATGACGTCATCCTAAATATAACATAAAAAACCTTTATAACTATGGTAATTATACGTAACAAAAATGAGTGCGCAATGAGTTTCCGCGCGCAAAGTTCAACTTTACGCACGCAAATGAGTGTGCAAAGTGATTACTTTGCGCACAAAAGTAGAAAGAATTCACTTCAACTGTTAAAAAGTTACGTTGAAATTAAGAACGCAATGCATCCCTTGTTTCATTTATCTCATTCCCACTAAGGAGTATTGATAGAAGAGGAAGAATACAATGATAGACTGCGTTAGGTGCTTCGAGCAGGAAAAAATATTTTGGCATTAAGGCGCATTCAATCCCCTTAAAGGGGGTGTGATCCCAAAATTAAAGTTTTAGTGCAAAAAACTCTAAGAATAAATATTTAAACCGCATCTTGCTACGATGGCCCGTTTTCGAGCTAGGGCGGTTTAAAGTTACAACTAGGTGTTTGTGACGTCACACTAGATTATCAGGGACAGTATTAACACGCGTAGGATTTTTCCAAAACAAAAGACAATTATCTCTTAGAGCGAGTAACTACTCAAAGTATAGGGTATGGTCAGCCGGTAAACATGTAGAAAGAAGTAGGTATTTTCATAAAGGCCTTATTTTGCTCTCTAAATTAAATTAAATGGTTTTTAAACGTTGTTTTCCTATTTAAAATAAAGTTTACCTCATATATAGGCATAGTAGGGCACATTACAAGTTACCTAATATCAGTATTTTCACTTTTTTGCAAAAGATCAATAAATAAATCATATACTATCTACAAATTACAACCATTTAATGTTCACAAACTCACTGTTGACCGTTCTAAACTTGCTTCAGTATACTTCCGCATCGTCGCACGTTGCACCAGCTCGTGGCGTTGCATAATGGCTGCCTAGCAAATTCCATGTGCACGTTTGCAAAAATGCCAAATTGTGAAGATTTTAAAAGAATTTTGTGAAATATTATGCGAAATACGGCTGAAATTCCTCAAAATTTCTCGAAATACCCTCGAAATACCATCGAAATTCCCCGAAATACCCCTAAATACCCCGAAATTACCCAAAATTCCTCGAAATACTTTGAAATACCTTGAAATTCCCCAAAACACCTCGAAATTCCCCTACAATTCCTTGCCTTTGTACACTAAAATACCCCAGTGGTTTCCCCCTCGTGACCATGTCAAGATTTCAAAAATTTTCCAGAGCTAAAAATAGGATTTTATTTTTATTTTTGATTCTGCTTAAAATGACCATTTGGAAATGATGTCAGGGTTGTTTTTCACTAATTTTGACCCACTCTATCGATTGGTAAAGTCAAAATTGAGCAAAACTGAAAAATAAAAAAATCGACTTTTTCATAAGGATTGAATTTGAATTCTGATTTCAAAATATTCAAACCTTAATTGCTCGGTAACCATTGAGCAAATTGCATTGAAATTTCTAGTATTTGTAGCTTTTGTTAAGCTCTTAATGGCTTATAATTTACAATATTCCCAAGTTTATAGTTTTTGAGCAAATTGAGTTTGAAGTTTTTGACAAAATTTGCACTTAAAGTCAACTTTGAGGCTAAATTACTCAAAAACTATTTGAGCTATTGAACTCAATTTTGCACGGATTTATGGAGAATTTATTGCTCTTTCCAATGATATAAAATTTATTTCAATTTGCTCAAAATTTAACAAAGATATGGGCAAGTGCTCATGACCATGTCAAAATTTTGAAAATTTCTCAGAGCCAAAAATAGTATTTTCTTTTTATTTTTGTTTATGGTTGAAATGGCCATTTGGAAATGATGTTTTCCACTAATTTTCACCCACTCTATTGATTGGTACAGTCAAAACTGAGCAAAACTGAAAAATTAAAAAATCGACTTTTTCATAAGTGAATTACCACCTTTGAATTTTGATTTCAAAATATTCAAACCCTAATTGCTTGGTAACCGTTGAGCAAATTGCATTGAAATTTTTAGCATTTGTAGCTCTTATCAAGCTCTAAAAAACCTATAATTTACAATATTCTCAGGTTTATAGTTTTTGAGCAAATTGGGTTTGAAGTTTTTGGCAAAATTTGGACTAAAAATCAACTTTGAGGCTCAATTACTCAAAAACTATTTGAGCTATTGAACTCAATTTTACACGTGTTTATAGAGAATTTATTGCTCTTTCCAATGATATATAATTTATTTCAATTTGCTCAAAATTTAATAAAGATA